CAGAACCAGTAGTATGACAAAAGAGCAGGTTCAGGAAATGGTAAGTAGTTACAGCCCAGCTAGCTCTCTCCTTCATTTCCTTATCTAGTTACCTTTGAAAAGGCTGCCCTATAGGTATATGGTCTATAGTAACAGACAGCTGTCAACCCCTGAGAGACTGCATGAGGTCAGAACTAGAGCTATGTTTTGGGTTAATGATTTTCTTTGAAACAGAGAGAAATAGAGAGGGGCGGGCTATTTACAGTGTATTTTATTGATACGGGTCATAATTGCTGTATTTTTTATCAGTGCTGAGTTCCATACAGCTCCCAGCATGTGTGTCAAATACCATTGATCCAATAACTATAAAAATAAAACATTTTTAAAATAACATAACTTTTGCTTGTTGTCCTCCGTCGGTGTTTTGAAGGCAGCAGGAAATAAGGAAATTACGGATGATACCGATTCACCTAGACATCTTGAGAGACAGTGAATACAGTTCAGTCATGGTTTGGATATAAAATAACCAACCCCTTTCTTAACAAAGGCTCCTATGCCTCAGGTAACTGCTGGACAGAAAGAAACTGGAGAGATTCAGGAAAATTGGCACCTGCATTGCTATACTTGTGCTGCAAAACAGGGATCAGTTTACTGCTGTGAAAACATCTTGGAACAGCTGCCAAGAGGGGCAACACACTTGGCCCAGGAATAGCTGTGATCACCTTTTCAAAGCCAAATCACCACATAGCTCTAATGGTGTATTCCTTCTGTGGACGGGGGTGACGGAATTAGAAACAGGTTATTTTCTTTCTTCAGTTGATGCCAATGTCGCAAGAGGTGAGAATGTTCAGTGGGGAAAAAACTGTAGCTTTTTTCAAGAATTCAAGGAGGCATGTTCTCAGAAATATTTAGTAGGCTTAAAAACTAAAACCAAGACTAGGTTGATTGAACTTGGTCATCCAAGGCTAGCTCTACTTTTCAAATGGGTAGGAATAAAACATGGATTACAGCTAGTGGATGGGAGTTATATGGGGACTTTTTGAGATGGGGACAGCAACTAAGAAATAAGAAATTATTCTTTCCTACAGCAATGTAGGAAGGCACTGAGACTTGGGCTCTACTATTATTTGGAGTTTGGTGTGGAGGCTCTTTTAGCACTCCCTTTGATTATCTAGTTTCTTACCATAATTTCTTTTGATGCCAAGAGTCAACGCTTGTTAAAATGATTTTAATGCCAGTGTATAGCTAACTGATCAGGCACTGGGAGGTGTTCAGTATTTCACATTTGGGAATTAAGATTAAAAATGCAACCCTTCTCAAAGACACTGCTGTAGCATTTTTAAAGGCAAATTTCCCTGCAGGATGCCAAACCATTTTAAGTATAAAACAGCTCTTGCACTATACTTTATTTTAATAGTAGGGTCCACAGCATCAGTTCTTAGAATGCTCTTCACTGTTGTGGTTATCATTAGCATGCATGCTAAGCATTTAGCAGGGCAATGAGGGAAGAAGGTAACATTCAGAAGGTAATATTCCTAGTTGTGTGTATTTAACTGGCTACTGGCCCATTCTTTCATCGTTATTAAGAGCCAGCCTCCCAATGCTAGTCATGATGGTTTCCAATTGGGTCCAAACTAGGTACTCTATAAGACCTTCACTAGTCTACTGCTGCCTTTCTTGAAGCACAAGTAAAGTCACAGGATACATTCCCATACCATGAAATAGGTTGTGGCTGTGACTATAATTTTGTCTGCTTATTCCCAAGGTCCACCACATATACCAACTTGTCCCGCTTATTTTTTTTTTTTTATTTGAATTGATAACCCACCCAACTCCAATTCCAATTTTAACTGTGTACACCATACCCTTATCATTAAGAGTTAGGCATGGATTGTTTCAAACCTTAATTTCACACTATCAATATGAAGGCAAGAGGGTCTTGTAATATTATTCCTCTGGGAAAGTTAGTTAACCAAGAAACGAAGTATAGGCAGCACAAAAACAACGTAAGACCACCACTGCCCAGGAGAAACCTCTTTTAATCTTCAAGTTCTAACAAAAGAGACTCTTGAAGAGCATAAGCAGATCAAGTAACACTATCTAAACCAGGGGTCTTCAAACTTGGCCCTTTTATGACTTGTGGACTTCATCTCCCAGAATTCCTCAGCCAGCGTGCCTGGCTGAGGAATTCTGGAAGTTGAAGTCCACAAGTCATAAAAGGGCCAAGTTTGAAGACCCCTAATCTAAACCATCTTTCCCAACCTGCTACTCCCCACATGCATCCTCAGCTATGTTAGTGCTGTGCAGTACAGTAACAATTTCCCATTTATTACATGCTCCTGAACCTGTTTAGGAGAAATTATTTAAATAGTTCAAATAGGAAGATGTACCAATTAGGATGGAGTGAACAGTATCAAAAACCAGTGAAATTTAACAGTGACTCTGGTCAACTTTCCCTTGAAAAATATTTGCAGGTGGACCCTCTCCCTCATTTGCTATTGCAAGTCTTTATTCTACCTTTCAATGAAAGAAGAAAGTCAATATTAGGCTCCATTTTCTGGCATCTCCTACAGAAGATGTTCCCACAAACGGTCCCATTTTCCTACAGCACTGGGCACCTAAAAAAACACTGAGGCAGTCTGAGCCTCAGCAAGCCTGTTCTACTTTCTGATCCTACTGATAGGTCCATCTTCCAAGAGCCAATGTTTGTTTGGAAATCTTTTGTCTGTATCCTTTCTCTCCCATTCAGTGTAGGTGTTGACGGCCCTGCTGCCCCTCAGCCCCATTTGGCAAGCTAGAGCTCCTATTTGCCTTGAATCATCTAAATCAGGAGTCTTCAAACTTGGCCCTTTAATGACTTGTGGACTTCAACTCCCAGAATTCCTCAGCAAGGCCCGCTGGCTGAGGAATTCTAGGAGTTGAAGTCCACAAGTCATAAAAGGGCCAAGTTTGAAGACCCCTGATCTAAATCAAAGTTTCTCAGCCTTAGCAACTTTAAGACGTGTGGACTTCAACTTGCGAAACTTGAGAAACACAGATCTAAATAATTCCACAGCAAGGCTGCATTGCTGAAAATATTACATAAGAAAGGAACTGGTACAAAAAAATCAACCTCCTTAAAGAAAAAAAATAATTTGGCAAAGTTTAACTTTTTAAAAATGCATACACAACACAGACACACACGCATTTTTCAAAAGAATACAGTGTGGCTGAGGATATTCATTATATTTATGTGAACAAAGACCATAAAGTAAATTATTCAACAACTGGAAAAATGATTTTCAAGAAAGGATTGTAATAGAAGAAAGACATAATAAAAAAAAAGCAGTTGTAGCACATGTGATCAAAAATAAGGCCAATGAGCTTCACCTGTTACATAATTTTCCTTAGGATTGCAGCCTTATCTAAACTGTCCGAACTGTCAGATTTTCTGTAACTGGTTTTTAGCTAAATTTCTTTATATAAAAATATAGATTTTGAGATATTTATATGTGTGCATCATAAGCCACAGGGAAATGTACAAGCTGTAATAGAAATGCTCACTAACAGAAAAATACAGAAGTCTCCAAGCTTGCATGGAAACTTAAACAGGATCTACACAGCATGCTAAGCCACAGTTTAACTTTGATTTATTGAATAAACCACAATGATTGGGTTCACTCAACACCTTAAGCCAGACAATACAATTCTGGGCTAAGTGTATCATAGAAACCAGTCTTAATGTTTTTCAGAAATTGAGAACAGAGAGCACAGAAACTAACTATGATCAAATTTGAACTTGAATGATTTTTAATGGTAGGATTGGTAAAATTATATTTGAGCCAGCTGTGACTGCTTTTTAAAAGCCACTGGAAAAAGCAAAGCAGCTGCAAATAAATTCAGGTTATGCAAAGGATCAGATGAGAGAGGCTGTTTAATATTTAGCCAAAGTTCACACCAAAATCTTTGCCATTTTTAGAGGGAAAAAATACCATTATTATCATCATTTCTTTTTGGGAGGAAAATATAGATTATAAATATAGCTCAATATAGATTTTGTACAGTCAGCTGGGGGCTACTATTAAGTAGAATAAGGAGAAGTTTGCATCCAGCATAATTCATGAGGGTTTGTTCAATAAGAATTTAATGGGTAAATGGCATAGAAACAGCTCTTAAAAATTGACTACTAATTTGTCTCGATCACTCCATATTTGAAGTCAAATGTATTTTAGGAATTGGGTTTGCATTGTTCATTATTACCAGACTCTGGTGCTGCAACTGGAATTCAAACAGTAAGAGCACTCCAAATTGTGGGTAAGTCCAGTTCCGTTTTGATAACTACCGTTTCCTAGAACTACTCATTATTCTTGGGTTACATAAATACACGTAGCGAGCTGAATGGTCTATGTTGCATCTTACCAGATTTTGAGAGCCAGTAGAACAGAACATAAGAAAAAAAGCGTATTAACATCTACTTTAGAAGGCAAGTGCACCTTAAAAAGAAAAGTTAAAAAATAGGAATACAGTATTGGCTTAGTCATAGAACAAGGATCTTTCAAACAGCATGGACCCAATACCAAGACGGAGGTCAAGCTGTCTAAACTAACTTGTTTTGGCAGCAGAAGACACACTTGCACCAGTCAAGGTGTGTCAGTAAGAAGGCACAGCAAGGAGAGTTTGGGCATGGTAGGACTAAACTAGCTTTTTAGTAGGGGCTGGACAGAAAAGTCCCTCCTTGGTCTATTTAAAGCTACAGAGAAATTAAACAAATGCTCAAGCAACAGATGGTGTTAGCTGCACACAGAAAATATTCCTTTCCTGCATAACATTCCCCAACTATCTTAATATGCTGGAAAGGGTATGCGCAATAACTTGGCCATCAGTGGGCCTTGCCGCTTAAGGATCATCACAGGCAAACGGGATAGCTGTAGGAGAGATGGACCATTAGGAGAGAAGGACCATTAATAAAAATTAAAGTGTCAAATTGAGACAATTGCTTTGAGGAGCCCAGCTCTTCTAAACATCGATTCAGTAAAACTTTTACTTTACTTTTTATCCAGCAAAAGTCCAACACAAGGTAACGAGGGAGCTACCAGGAAGCGCTTCAGAGATTCAAGTCCGTGTCAGTTCCAGGTGTTGAGTGAGCAGGACCCGGATCATGCATTTTATCTGACGGCCTTAGGCAGCCCCAAAGCTTCTCTTGACAGCTTGAAGTCCTGTTCAATTCCATATGTTTTGACAGAAGATGAAAAAGGTACTTCCAGGAGAAATTTTAACGGGCAAACATAGGACACTGCAAGACTGCAAGGCTCATTTTGCATATAAGCTGCAAAGGCAAAGAAGGCAGGGGCTGTTTTCTGGTCTATCTAGGTCTCCAGTCAATATAGCAGCGTAGCATCCCTTTCAAAACTCATCGCTCTCCAAGGGTCAAGTTTCTCTTCTATTTCTAATGAGCAAAAGGAAAAGCACACCAGCATGCCATTTAAATGCCATTTAACTATCAAAACAGAGTTGGAGGGAAAGACACGTAAACTGTACAAGGACCTCACAGAAATACAACACGGGTGAAAGTGAAATCAAAAGGTGCAAGGTACCCGCCGTAACTCAACATTTCTGGATCAGCTGATGAGAGGAGCTGAGCGATCGTTTGTCACGGTTGGTTTGAGCTGGACGTTGGCAAAAGGATTCCTGTAGAGAGAAAGCAAGGCATAGTTTTAGCCAGAACTGTTTTAGGACACAAGTGATCTGTATTGACAAGGACAACAAAACAAAGTGGAATGCAGGGATGACACAAACACGAAACAAAGATCACTGCAAACATAGTTCCCACCACAGCCAAAGAAACATCATGTCTTCACAAAACAAGCAACACTATGAATCTTTAAACAATGGCTTTGTCTGGAAAATGCCTTTGGCCTAATTGCCAAATTTCAGTGACAAACTATCTCAATGTTTCCTTTCTCCAGCCGAGCTTAAATGCATGGAAGACTATCCAGGACATGGACTGATGAATAAAACTGCTTTGTGTCATGCAAAAAGCAACACACACACACACGCACACGCACACAGCTGTAAATAGATGCTGTCCACTTCACCCTTCCTTGATCACTCACCCACAAATATATTGGACTACAGCCACCATTATTCCAAACAAGTTAGAGTGTAGCCAAACACGCTGGGAGACTTTGGCCTCAGGTCAAGTGGTGGGATTGGAACGCAGGTCACAGTTGCCATGGGCATGTCCCCAGAATATTCCCTCCTCTTATTGAAACGAAGGTAAGCTGCTTTCTCAGAAAAGTTATCTTGGCAGGAAAACAATATACCTCTTCTTTAGGGGACGGTGTGACTTTTTTCTTTGTTTCCTGACCATATCTCATTCCCCATTCCCCAGTTATTCATACTGATAACTGTCACAGTGGAGATCATGTGAATACATCACATGATCTCCACTGTGACAGTTATCAGTATGAATCTCTTCTTTGAGAATTTGGGTATCACCTTGTCATGCTCCACATTCTTGGAACATAGGAGAGTCACAGGGTACTTATACCAGCTCTGGACCATAAAAATCTGCTCGCCTGTAGATTATAACTAGTTAAGATCCACTATTGAGACTCTTGGAAGAAATTTTCATGGCAGTGGCAGCATGCCCCAGATCCAAGTTTAGATGCAGGAAACACAGTTTACAGCCCATGAAGTTTGGAACAAAAATACAAAAACAGCTAAAGACTTTAGAGTGCGTACCTTCAAGACATAGGCTGGTACTAAAGATTCTTCTGATCAAAATATGCATGTTCATGTCAATCTTATTTTTATGGATTCCTTTCTCAAAAAAGAAAAATACTCTTCTATTTTAAGACAGGCAATGTACAAAAATTCATCCACAGTACTTCTGATAAATACTGAGGAGCGTGGATACATATGCGCCAAAGTAGCATCACCCGTGACCAGAAAAATCATTTCAGAAGGCTGGAGAGGATTCTGACATTTGTGGAAGCACTCCATGTCCAATAGCAATAGAAAAATCCTGGAACTCCATTCCCACATATCTTCATGAGGACTGAATACATTCAGTGGATAGGAATAATGGCTGACTGGCAGAAGAAAGGAGGAATGGAATGGCTCATTTTGAAAGAAGACTAAGCAGGTTGACCGCAGTCAGGAATTTATATACTTATTACCGTATTTGCTCAATCTGTCAATAAGCATAGCCGCCCATCTCAAGCCAATGACTCTTGGGGGGGAGGGCAACGGTCATAAAATTATTCTAGAAAGACACATTCTGTTGCAGCTCCAGCTTGTTCTTCTATAAATTCAAGCCATATGAAAGTAGAGTTCCACCTCCCAGTTAGAATTCTAGCTCTTCTACCAGTTGGTCAACCCTCATGTAAGGAGAAGGAGGAACCTGTAATTTATTTCCAGGTCTCCTCAAACTATTACCAGATTATTCTCCCCACCCCCACCCCCAGCAAAATGTCACCTGTTATTGATATATTTATTGCACCCACATACAAAGCGTTGCTTCCTCCAGAACATCTGGCATCTATTCAGGACAAGCTGCTGCTCTCCCAATCTTTGTTAACAAGTAACTATTGTGGGTCTACCTTACTCTCAGGGCGGGCAGGCTGTTCCACCATGGACAAATCTAGATCCAGGCTGAGATTACAGAGTGATGTGGGGGAGGCACTTCCAGCCAATTACAAATTAAATTTCTGATCTTTCCTGGCTCAGGGAGACTGGAGGGGGTGTTGCATCAGCTGTTCCTCAAGAAGCAATCATTTGCAGAGTGTGGCTCAGCTGCAGAGAAATTGTGTTTGAAGATTGTCCAGACTGGTTGGCCTTTGGCCAAAGAGAACAGATTTCAGATCCTACAGTCTTCTCTCTTAAAATAACAAGCAGCTTACTTTCTCTTTAAGAGACACAGCTTAGCTGATGGATAGTCAATGCTATTCACACAAGCAATTTGCCTCTTTGTAATTTCTGCTCTTTTGGGCCACACAGATTTTCTTCTCTAAAGACACTAGCAGAGGGAATACTGCATAAAGCACCTAAAAAAAAAAAAAAGGAGGGGGGGGGAGAACAGTCCATATTTGCCAGCTCACTGATAGGGATTTGAAGACTGTTTCTGGGGACCTTAGATGGACCCTCTTCAGCATCATTCACCAAGGCAAAATTTATACTGTGCTCCTATTTGTGAAAGCTACATGGACAGCACGAATAGAATGTTCCTAGAACAATCAAATTATTTTATTTTGGTGGTGGCATCATTTCATTTGATTTTATTTTTTGCTCTGTTTTGGAGAGTCTACAGAATGTCAGGTTTTCTTTGGTCCTAAATATTCATGACAAGAAAGCAGTTGGCCTGAATGTCTGTGCAATCCTGTACGTGTCCACTTAGAAAAGGTTCCGTTGAATTAGGCTCATTCCCGTATAAATGCAGGATGGATGTTTGCCAGGCAAAAGGCACTTTCCATGGAGCAAGATCAACCTGAAGCCACCAGAAAGAAGCTGGTGTGTTCAAAGGAAACAGGTGGCCCACAATTATTTGCGGAGGAAAGAGAAGCTCATGGGATTCATAATGTAGACTACAAATGGATCCTTAGTGTAGCAGTTATATAGTCTGGGTGAGGAGCTGGATTACAATTCCTAGCAGATCCTGCCCGCATGGCCAATAAATTGGGATCCTGGCTGGGAGTTATAGTTCAGAAACATCTGGAGACTCTAGTTTCCTTATTCCTGGCAACTGATGCTTGGTGCGTGAAATGGGCAAATGGAAGACCAGGGGGTATTGCTTTGTCTAATGCTGTCAGGGATTTTAAAACTAGAAGTGCACTATCTCTCTTTAAACCAATTGTAGGCACTAATATGCCCAGGCCGCCTACCTAGGTACCTGCCATACTCCGAGGCTTATCTTTAATTTTAAAAATTAAACAGGAAGGTGGCAAAAAAAAATATAAACTAGAGTAATATAGTGCATCCAGCAAGAAACAAGAAATTTCCCAGTTTGTCACACCCACCACAACAGACCATTCCCCTAATGGTAGTCCTTTAAGGGTGCCCTTGAATTTCGAGGTACCTATCTGCTAAAGGAAAAAACACCTATTTCTGACCTAAACATTTAATATATTTCATCTTAACGCAAGCCTGCTGATGACATCCTCCTTTTGCCAAGCAGCCTACAGTTTTGTAAGTTTCATAAAGCATGATTCCATGAGATAAAGAGAAAATACAGCCCACATATGTGCTCTTTTCTGGGTTCAGAAAGTCACCCGGTACACGATGATCCAAGTCTGGGACTGTTTGTTCTAAATCATCCACAGAGAAAATGAAAACAGTAAATGACAGAGATTTAGCATCTAATTCTCACAAGAACTGATCATTATCAGGAGCTACAAGGGAACTTAAAAATGAGCAATCTCGTCCACAGATCTTCAATTTCAAACTCAACTGTGTCTGCCTACCAATGCTGTCAAAATAGTAAACGCTCCATGATGAGGGAAAAGGATGGGTGGGATGGGGAAATGTTCAGGTCTAAGCTAAATTACAGGAGAAATTGGATGGTGCATGCTTCATGGTTCAACTCTTTATCAGCAGAGATTCTAAAAAAAAAAAAAATGAACCTATTCAAAGAAACCCATGATATCCTTAAAAAAATCCAAGTGCAAGAGTGTAAGGATGCGCTTTATTTACAAAATACTGTAGTCTTCTTCACTGCCCTCTAGTGTGTGCCTAAGATGGCGATACAGTGGAAACACCCAGCAGTCTGCTTAGCACTGTACTAGCTAAAGCAGGGCTGGGTATTCTGTAACCCATGTGCAGGTTCTCAAGTCTCTTTTCTGTGGCTCTGCAATTCATAAAACCACATTGGCAAATAAGACCGACTGACTTTCCCATCGGGTTTGAGTAGGAAACTAAAGGGATTTTTTTTCCCTTAAATCTACTGAGCCTACACACTATTATATATATATATATATAAACAACTCTACACAAGATGCAAAATGCAACCCCCTCCCCACTCATTCCTCCGACATCCCCATATCCATTAATTGCTGTGTTTCCTGTAGTTCTTAGCTGATGGAAAGATAATGTAAAAAGAAAAAAAACCCAGCTTATATCCCATAAACGTTTATCTCAGTGAAGGAAAATGGAGCCTGTAGCCAAAAAAGAAGCAGGGATTCAATTCCAGGTTTGGCTGCTGTTAGAGGCCTATTTTTTTGAACTCGTGCTCTGTTGCTCCCAGGTTACAGAATATGCTTCATTAGGAGCTGCATTTCTCCCACATTACCTCTGGCTTTAGAAAATCTAGAAAATACATTTCTTTCATCGGATTTTTGATTGTTAATTGAGCTTAGCATCAATCTGAATATGGGTTTATATTATGTTAATTTATGTTTGAAATTGGTTATGTTTGTGTCAGGTCCCCAAATCCTTATTGCTTTCCCTGCGTATGTGCTCTTGTTTGGGGCCTGCCATTCTGCTGGGAGAGGGGGTGGAGTTTGCTTTTGCTTGGGATAACTTTCGCGTTCTGCTTTTCCTCTCCCGCCTCTCTCCACTTGAGAAAAGACTGTGTCTCCCTTATGAGGGAAACAACTACGGAGAAACGAAACTGGAGAAGACCTTGAGATGCGCGCCAACTGTGCCAGTTACCCGCACATCGTTGCCACCTGTGGATTGGCTGGATTTCAAAT